AGGTAATCTTGTTTCTTGTGGTTGGGGTTTGTTGAGCTTCTTGATCTGTGATTTATAAACGTTTTCATCAAACTTGGAATATCTTGGCTGTAATATCTTCAAATGCTCCTCCCCCACCTTGCCATTTCTCCTCCTACATGATCTCTAGTTATACCTATATTAAGCCCCTCGAAGTGATCCTCTGTCCTTTTTAAAAAAAATCTTATTTCTCTGTTTCATTTTGGAAAGTTTCTCATATCTTCTAGTTCACTAGTCTTCTATACTATCTGATCAGTTGTTAATTTCACAAACTATATTTTTGATATCAGACATTGTAGTTTTCATCTGTACAAATTCTATTTGGGTCTTTTTTTATATTTTTCATGTTTCTACCTGACCTTTGGAGCATGTGGGGTACAGGTAGGATAACCATTACAGTGTCTTTGTCAGTTAATGTTAACATCTGTGCGGGATAGGTTTCTTTACACTCACTGTAATTTTTGGTTGGACTGGTTTTGACTTTGTTAGGTACTTAATATTTTTATATTTCTATAGATATTTTGGTTCTTGTTCCAGGATGCCACAAAGTTACTTGGAAACAAATGGATCCTTTCATATCTTGCTTTATGATTTGTTAGGCATGAGTGGAGCAGTGCTCAGTCTGGGGCTCATTATTTCCCACTTCTGAGGCCAGACCCATCTCTCCTCTTGCCAGTGTGTTTGGGGCTCTGTGAGCATGAGGTCTTCCAGGCCAGCTGGTGGAGCAGGTACTGTGCAGCAGGATATGTGAGCTCACTTCTTCCTTTCAAGTGTTTCTTTCCTGGCCTCAGGGAGTCCATCGTACCTGTGATGTGCATAGAACACGCGCCTGCCTCCGGGGGTTCCCCGCGCTTCTGGGCGCCCTCCCAGTGCACTCTGTCCCACGCCCTGAACTCATTGAGCCCGCTGGCTTCCATCTGCTTCCCGCTTCCTGAGCCCAGGCCCACGACCGTTGTGTGTCTTTATCGCTCAGGAGCCGATGCTCTACATCTGGAAAACTTGCTTCACCTATTGTTTATTTATTTTTTTTAAATAAAAAAAAATACTCATTCGGGCTTCCCTGGTGGCGCAGTGGTTGGGAGTCCGCCTGCTGATGCAGGGGATGCGGGTTCGTGCCCCGGTCTGGGAGGATCCCATGTGCCGCGGAGCGGCTGGGCCTGTGGGCCATGGCCGCTGGGCCTGCGCGTCTGGAGCCTGTGCACCCCGACGGGAGAGGCCACGGCGGTGAGAGGCCCGCGTACCGCAAAAAAAAAAAAACAAAACATTCAAAACCCACCACATGCCAGATTTACTTAGGACACATCAGTGAATATGATCAATGAAAGCCTTTGCCCTACTGGTGCTTAACATCTTATCGGGCAGAGACAGACTATTCATAATACACATAATAAATAAGTTCGTGTTATATAATGTAAGGGTGATAAAACACAGTGGAAAAGACAAATCATGGTAGGGTAGGTTACAGTTTTTTCTAGCTTTATTTAGGTGTAATTGACACATAAAAATTAATTATACTTAAGGTATACAGCAACATGATGGTTTGATATCCACCACTTCACATACTTACCTTTTTTTTTTTTTTTTTTTTTGGTATGCTGAGAACACAAGATCTACTCTCTTAGCAAATTTCAAGTATACAATACAGTATTATTAATTATAATCACCACGCTGTACATCAGGTCCCCAGAACTTATTCATCTTATAACTGAAAGTTTGTATCCTTGGATCAACATCTTTCCATTTTCCCACCTCCAGCCCCTGGCAGCCATGGTTCTACCCTCTGGTTCCATGTGTTCAGTTTTTTTAGATTCCACATATAAGTGACATTGTGTAGTTTTTTTGGGTTCTGTCTGACTTATTTCACTTAACATAATATTCTCCAGATTCATTCATGTTGTTGCAAATGGCAGGATTTCCTTCTTTCTTGTGGAATAATATTCCATTGTGTGTGTGTGTGTGTGTATGTGTGTGTATACCACATTTTTTAAATCCATTCATCAGTAGACACGTAGGTTTCCACGTCTTGGCTATTGTAAATAATAATCGAGTGAACATGGAGGTGCAGACATATCTTTGAGATCCTAATTTCCTTTCCTTTGTATACATGCCCAGTAGTGGGATTGCTGGATTATGTGGTAGCGAGTGCTATTTTTAATTTTATGAGGAACCTCCACACTTTTCCATAGTGTTCCATTGGCTGCACCAATTTACATTCCTACCAGTAATACACAGGGGGTCCCTTTTCGTCACATCCTTGCCAACACTTGTTATTAGTTACCTGTTTTTTTTTTTTTTTTTTTTTTGTGGTACGTGGGCCTCTCACTGTTGTGGCCTCTCCCGTTGCAGAGCACAAGCTCAGCGGCCATGGCTCACGGGCCCAGCTGCTCCGCGGCATATGGGATCTTCCCGGAGCGGGGCACGAACCCGCGTCCCCTGCAACGGCAGGCGGACTCTCAACCACTGCACCACCAGGGAAGCCCCTAGTTACCTGTTTTTGATAATAACAATTCTAACAGGTGTGAGGTGATCCTCATTGTGGTTTTTGACTTGCACATCCCTAGTGATGAGAGATATTGAACATCTTCTCACGTGCCACTTGGCCATCTGTATGTCTTCTTTGGAAGAATGTCTATTTAGGTCTTTTACCCATTTTTTAATCAGAGTTTTTTTTACTGTGAGTTGTGTGAGTTCCTTATGTTTTGGATATTAACCCTTTATCAGGTACATGATTTGTAAATATTTTCTCCTGTTCAGTAGGTTGCTTTTTCATTTTGTTGATGCTTTCCTTGGCTGTACAAAAGCTTTTAAATGGAATGTAGTATCCCACTTGTTTATTTTTGATTTTCTTGCCTGTGCTTTTGGTGTCATATCCAAAAAAATTGTTGCCAAGACCGATGTTTAGGACATTTTATCCTACATGTTTTTCTGTGGTTTTACGGTTTCAGGTCTTACGTTTAAGTCTTTAATTCATTTTGAGTTGGTTTTTGTATATGATGTAAGATAAGGGTTCCATTTAATTCTTTTGCATGTGGCCATCAGCTTTCCCCACACTGTTTATTAAAGAGACTGTCCTTTTCCCCCTTAAGTATCCTTGGCAGCATTGTTGAAAATCAGTTGATCATAAATATACGGGTTTATTTCTGGGCTCTCAGTTCTGTTCCATTGGTCTATATGTCTGTTTTTATGCCAGTACCATACTTTTTTGATTACTGTAGCTTTTTAAAGTAGTTTGAAATCAGGAAGTATGATGCTTCCACCTTTGTTCTTCGTTCTCAAGATTGCTTTTGCTGTGCAGTGTCTTTGTGTTTCCATACAAATTTTAGGATTGTTTGATGTATTTATGTGAAAAATGCCATTGGAATTTTGATAGGAATTGATTGCATTGAATCTGTAGATTGCTTTGGAAATTTTTACATGGAGATTTTCACAGTATTAATTATTCCAATCCAGGAACATGGGGTAGCTTTTCATTTGTCTTTAATTTCTTTCATCAATATCTTAAAGTTTTCAGCTTACAGATCTTTCTCCTCCTTGGTTGGATTTATTCCTAGGTATTTAATTCTTTTGGATTCAATTGTGAATGGGATTGTTTTCTTAATTTCTTTTTCGGGTAGTTTGTTGTTAGTGTATAGAAGTACAGTTGGTGGTACGTCACAAGTCACGTAGGCTTTCTTCCTTGTCCTGCATTCCTTTTTCTCTTTGTTCCTGTAACTGGCTAATTTCACGTGACCTGTCTTCGAGCTTGCTGATTCTTCCTTCTGCACAATTAGGTCTGCCCGTGCCCTGTGGTTTTCTCCTTTGTGTCACATTCTACCTGTTTACTGTTGACTTGTTTGACTATTGATTGCCTCCCAATAAGAGCAGAGACTGCCTCATTGAGGCTGAGTAAGCAGTTCCACAGCAGTGCCCGGCATGCAGGAGATAGCTAAAGGAGAGACAGGACATATCTGTTCAATGTGAATTTAAATGGTGCTCAGGAGAGGCCTTTCTGGATGAAGGAATGAAATGAGATTGCGGTTTCAACGGCCGTTTCTGATTTTGTCTCATTTGCTCCATTGGTTTTGTTTGTTTTGTTTTGTTTTTTGCTGGTGGGGGATGGATTTTGTTAAAGCTCTTTACATAAAACACACACAAGCTCTCTGTCCTTATTTGTCATCAGTGTTCCCACTTTGTCTTTATTTTTTTGATGGTCTTTAACTTTGACTTTTAAAATACAAGTGTCTCTTGTTAGAAAGTTCTTAATGTATTATTATGCCATGCAAATCTATATAGTAGTGTGCAAAAAAGCTTTTAGTTATTTTGATTATTTCCTGTATATTTTATGTTTAGTATCTCGTGTGCTTCTAGGTTACTTGAAAATCCTTTTTGAATTGAGACAAAGCATTAAATAAGCTTATACTTATTTTGTAATAAAAAGCACCTGCTAAACTTTGCTAATAAATCTTACTCCTCAGGGTTTTTTTGGCTGCATTGGGTCTTCGCTGTTGCATGCGAGCTTTCTCTAGTTGCGGCGCATGGGGGCTACTCTTCCTTGCAGTGCACGGGCTTCTCATCGTGGTGGCTTCTCTTGTTGTGGAGCACGGGCCCTAGGTGCTTGGACTTAAGTAGTTGTGGCTCGCAGGCTCAGTAGTTGTGGCTCACGGGCTCTAGAGTTGTGGTGCATGGGCTTAGTTGCTCCGCGGCATGTGGGATCTTCCCGGACCAGGGATCGAACCCATGTCCCCTGCATTGGCAGGTGGATTCCTAACCACTGCACCACCAGGGAAGCCCTCAGGTTATTTTTTGAAACTGTGTTTTTGTTTGGGGGAGAGTGTTATTTTTTGGGGTTTTTTTTGCCTCTGATTGCCTTGTAAAATATCATTTTTCTTATATTCTCTATACATTATGTAGATAAATTACTATGTATATTGAAAACGTTAGAATTGCTATACTGAATCATGTGCTTGGTAAATTTAAGCCGTTTTTCCATTGCTTCTCTGTAGGAGGAAATGAATCTCAACCAGAAAGCCAGGAAGACCCCCGGGAAGTACTTAAAAAAACATTGGAATTCTGCTTGTCTAGGTGAGGATGGTAGTATTTTTCTAGTATCTGATATCTAAGGTGTTGTGCACTGCTACTATGTACAGATGTCATGCTTTACACAGAAAGAGTATCTGTTAACATCTCTGTCTGTACATCCATCTGTAGGAAGTCGAGATCCCCCCTACCCCCATCCCCTGCCCACAGACTTGGACTCTGATGGTGGAGCCATAGGTGGTCAGCCTCACAGGTTTTAGTCCTGGGTCGTGCTGTTGGTCACTCACTTTATTGCTTTTCCATCCTCTGCTGCAGAGGGCTATTGAGGCCAGAGTTGGAGTCACAGCCCCTCTGACAAGTGTTCCAGCCTGAACTGCAAGCACTCTGGGCACCAGCCTTTCTTGGCCTTATCACATTTTTCTTACTTTTTCATTCTCTTAGCTGCGTTTCCTTACTTTAAGAAGTTGTGTTTCGGGGCTTCCCTGGTGGCGCAGTGGTTGAGAGTCCACCTGCTGATGCAGGCAACACGGGTTCGTGCCCCGGTCCGGGAAGATCCCACATGCCGCGGAGCGGCTGGGCCCGTGAGCCATGGCCGCTGGGCTTGCGCGTCCGGAGCCTGTGCTCCACAACGGGAGAGGCCACAACAGTGAGAGAGGCCCGCGTACCGCAATAAATGAATGAATGAATGAATGAATGAATAAATGAATAAATAAATATCAATGTAAAAAAAAGAAGTTGTGTTTCTATTTTTTTGTTTGTTTTTGTTTTGTTTTGTTTTGTTTTGCGGTACGCGGGCCTCTCACTGTTGTGGCCTCTCCCGTTGCGGAGCACAGGCTCCGGACGCGCAGGCTCAGCGGCCATGGCTCCCGGGCCCAGCCGCTCTGCGGCATGTGGGATCCTCCCGGACTGGGGCACGAACCCGTGTACCCTACATTGGCAGGCGGACTCTCAACCACTGTGCCACCAGGGAAGCCCTGTGTTTCTATTTTTAAAAGCTACTCAAAACACTTTTTAGAGCAAAGATGAGCTATAAATACATTTTTTTAAAGATTTACCTGCTCATTAATTTTGATCATATAAAGTGCAGTACACTTTTACTTTTGCTCTCTCTGCCTCCCCAGATGTCTTTGACAAAATCGACGTAAGGTCAGAGAGATGGCAAATTGCGGGGGGTGGGGGGGGTTGAACTCAGCTCTCACTCCAGGGCAGTACCGTACCACACTCGTGCCTCTTGTGAAGGTTGCTTTTAAAGAAGTTGTGAATTAAGACAGATTGTCTTCTTTCTCCAGGGAGAACCTTGCTAGTGACATGTACCTTATATCGCAGATGGACAGTGATCAGTACGTGCCAATCACCACGGTAGCTAACCTGGACCACATCAAGAAGCTCAGCACCGACATAGACCTGATTGTCGAAGTGCTGAGATGTAAGTAGACTGCAGCCCAGGCTGCATCGTACGTGGTCTTGACAGCATTTTTCTTGCCAGTGTGATGCTTAGCATTCACAGCCATTCGTGCTAAGGTACCCAGGCCTGGCGTCACAGATGGGCCACTGTAGGTTTTCTAGCAGGTGTGCGGTGGTATCTCATTGTAGTTTTAATTTCTGTTTCTTTAGTGCCTGATGACACTGGGCAGTCTTTTCATGTGCTGCCTTTCTGAGCTGTCTGTGCAAATGCCCCACCCCCACCACTTTTTTTTTAATTAGTTTTATTACAGGTGAGATTTAAGGAGTGTGTATTTGTGTGCAATTTGAGATGCACATATCTGTATTTGTCCTTATTGGAGATGTGATTTGCAAATACATTCTCCCAGTCTGTGGCTTCTCTTTTTGTTCTAATAATGTCTTTTGAAAAGCAGAGTTTTCAGTTTTTTTATATAGTCCAATTTATTAATTTTTTTCTTTTATGGATCTTGCTTTTGGTATTGTGCCTAAGAAATCTTTGCTTAATTCAGGGTCACAAGGATTTTCTCCTAGAAGTTTTAGTTTTAGGGTTTACATTTTTAGGTCTGTGATCTGTTGTCAGCTGATTTTTGTATGTGGTATGAGCTCTCTCCCCCCTTGCATGTGAATGTGCTGCTCTTCCAGCCCATTTGTTGAAAACACTCTACTTCTCCACTGCACTGCCTTTGTGCCATCGTGAGAATCATGTATCCCTGTATGTGTGGGTTTCTCTCTGGGCCGTATGTCTGTCCTCAATCTATTTTGTCTGTTTTGATGCCATTGCTGCAGTGTCTGGATGGCACTGGCTTTTATAGTACATCTTAGAGTAGTTGCAAAATCTCCAGCTTTGTTTTGGCTCTTCCAAATGCTTGGCATTTCCATGTGAATTTTAGAATCGACATTTTGGTTTTTCAGAAGGTCCTATTGGTATTTTTACTGGGATTACATTAAATCTATAAATCAGTTTGGGGAGTATTGACATTTTAACAGTATTGGGTTTTCTAATTCATGAACATAGGATATCTCTCCATTCATCTAGAAAAATCTTAAAAATTTTTCTCTTGGCAATGTTTTGCAGTTTTCATAGTGCAGGTATTTCATATCTTACCAGATTTATAACTAAGTATTTCGTATTTGGGCATAAATATTTTTATTTCAATTTCTAGGTGTTCGGTGCTAGTATGTAGGAATAAAATTTATTTTTGAATATTAATCTTGTATACTTAAAACCTTTTGAAACTCACAATCCTAGTTTTTTATGGAAATTGTATCAGATTTTCTACATAGAGCTCAGCTTGAATGAAAGTGAATGAAAAGGTTACCTTCTTACACCCAGTCTGGGTGTATGTAATTTCTATTTCTTGTGTTATTGCCCTGGCTTAAGCCTCCAGTGCTGTGTTGAAAAGAAGTGGGGAGAGTCAGCATCCTTGCCTTGGCCCATCTTCTAGTAAGAAAGATGCTAGACGTTGGTTTTTTTGTAGGTGAGGAGGTCTTCCTTCTATTCCTAGTTATCTGAGAATTTTTATCAGAAATGAATGTTGGATTTTGTCAAATGCTTCTGCATCTATGAGATAGTTGTGTGGGGTTTTTTTTTTGTTTTTTAGTCCATTAATATGGTGAATTACATTGCTTATTTCTTTTGGTAAACCAACCTTGCATTACTGAGAAAAATCCACTTGTCGTTCATTTTGTATTCCCATCTTTATATATTGTTAGATTCAATTTGGCAAAATTTGGTAAGAATTTTTATTGTTCATGGGAGATGGTCTATAGTTTTCTTGTTTTGTAATGCCTTTGTTTAGTTTGGGTATCAAAGAACTGCTGGCTTCATAGGTTGAATTGGAAAGTACTTTCTTAAGTTCAGAAGAGTTTGTACTACAGAATTGTTATTTTTTTTCTTGACATTTGGTAGGATTCTCCAGAAACCACATGGGCCTTGAGTTTTCTTTTCTCTCATGGATCCTACTTCCCAAAAGTTAGCTTTGGTACTACGGGATGTTTCCATTTCTGATGTTGGTAATATATGTCTGTGGTGGTACACAGCTCTGAGCCCTGATTTTGATCCTGGTGTGCTATGACCTGAGTCTGCATGTGATAGAATTTCATAGAGTGACACCAAGAAACAAAACCTAACAAAAGGAGATAAGGCAAAAGCTGGTGAAACCTGAATTGGGCCTGTCCCCGTGCTGGCAGCGTTGACCCTTGTTTCGATGGTGGATTGTGGTCGTGTAAGATCCATCGTTAGGGAAGGCTGAGTGAAGGGTGCTTGACAACTTCTGTGAGTTCAAAATTAAGTCGTAAGGAGACAGGAAAGTGTCTTGTTTTGGGGACTTGTAGAAAGAGAAAGTCTCTAGCCCTGCATTGTGACCGACTTGGAGTTGTTTGAGCTATGGAGAACCTGTGTCATAGCGTTACCTCTGTTACAGCTCCCACAGGGCTCCCCAGAGCCCCTAATTGTAATGTGCAAGATTGGTCTAAAACCTTTTGATAGCTTGTGTTAAGCTATCAAGACTTTTGATAGTTTTCCCATTGTATACGGCTTTCTTTAACGTGTCTGGCGATGTAGTCTAACACGTCCCGCTAGAGTATCTACGTTAGGTCACGATGTAGTGCAAATGGTTGATTTGTTTTAATATTTGTGTATCATCCATTTCTCTTCTCTTTACAGCTTTACCTTTAGTCCAAGTGGATGAGAAGGGAGAAAAAGTAAGGCCAAATCAGAATCGTTGCATAGTAATATTACGTGAAATACCTGAATCCACCCCTGTAGAAGTAAGTCATTTCTCCTCTGAAGGAAACTTGGACTTTTTTGGGTGGGTTTTTTGTTTGTTTCTGTGGTTTTTGGAAGATGTATTTTAAAGCAGAAATACGTACAGTAACACTTTTTTCCCAAGATTTACACACTCTGATAGTTACAGTGATTCATTTGTAAGAGTGGTTCTCAAACTTTTTGGTCTCAGGACTCCATTACACATTTCACACTGAAAAAAGTAGTGAGAGTTTATGGTAACTTCAGTATTTAGAAGTTAGAAAGAGAAAAGGTTTAAATATTTATTCATTTTAAAATAAGAATAGTAAACCACCAAGTTGAGACAGAGAACATATTTTTATGTTAAATCACTTTCCAAAACAAATTTTCACGATGAGAAGGATGCAATGAACACCAGTGTGGCCTGTGCTTGATTTGAGCCGACGTGCCAGTATTGGTGCATTTCTGGGTTTAATTTGACTGGTTGATTTTTTCATTATAAGTCATATTTTTCTATTTCTTTGTGCGCCTTGCAAATTTTGAATGGATGCCAGGCATTTTGGATTTTATTTTATTGGGTACAGAGTGTTTTTGTACTCCTTTCTGTGCATGTTCTTGAGCTCTGTTTCGAGGCTCAGTTAAGTGACTTGGAACTGGTGGAAGCAGACTGGCCTCCCCCTGGGGCAGTGCTTCCTGAGAGCTCCACCTGATGTCCTGAGTTAGGATTGTTTTCCACTCAGGCTGGTGGAGATACTCCCCGATCCCAGAGAGCTCTAGGGGAAACCTCTCATCACCAGGTTGCTGTTTCTGCAGCTTTGGGCTGGGCCTGTGCCCACCCTCCTGGCACCACGGCCTGGAAGCCCCATATGTGAGTCAGGCACTCAAGGACCTGTCTGTACCTGTCCCTCTCAGGGATTGCTGTCCTGCATGGCCCAAGGTCCACTGTCTGAAAAATGCTATTTCATATATTTTGTCTTTTGTTTGTAATTATTTCATATGGGAGGGTAAATGTAGTCCATCTCGGCTGGAAGCAAAAGGCCAGCTAATTTTTAGATTTCTTAAGTTACCTTTCTCTGCCTCCAAATTGTGTAGTTATTGGCTACTGGTAAAATAAAATATTTTCCTATTAATTTAGTTTCGGGTCTCTTAGGGGTCAGGAAAGCTGTCAGTGGGTTGTGAATTTTATTTCCTGTGACAATGGGATCCTAATTCTGGAAGCCACACTGAACTCCTCAGCCACCTTGAGAGAGGGCCCTGGACTTCGGTGTGCTGGGGTTGTCTTCTAGGCATCTGTCCTTAAGAGTGGGCACCGTGTTTCTTTGGTGAGGACAAACAGTGGCATAGTTGAGAATTAATTCCTAACCTCTCTGTTTCCTGTAGGAAGTAGAAGCACTATTTAAAGGAGATAACTTACCGAGATTTATAAACTGTGAATTTGCCTATAATGATAATTGGTTTATTACATTTGAAACAGAAGCAGATGCACAACAGGTAAGCTCTTCCTCCCCTTACCCCCCACCCTGTTCTGCCACAAAGGACAGAGTTTACCAGTACTTAGCAGTCAGTACATAGTGGGACTGAACATGGGCACAGAGATTACGATCACATGTGGTGTTGAGTGTGAACATAAGGTGCAGGGAAATCAGGTTGAAGAAACCTAAAAAGGTGTATGTGTAGACAGTTTTGTAGCGATGTGAAAAGCATAGACGTTATTTTCTAAGGACATGTAAGACAGGCAGCCTAGGAAAACTGGTTCTTTTCTTATCTCTGTACAGATACAGATTTTAATATTTGGAAAAGTGTTTGGGAAGTTTGAACCTAATTCTAACTTTCCCTGGGCAGCCTTGTATTACAAGGTACTTGAAAAGGCATTGAGAAGCTCTGTGAGAGGCATGGAGTTCAGACGGCTCCCTGCCCTTGAAGGAAGCATCATATTCATGGGAAACACTAGCCTGCGTAAAGGAATGGCAGTAGGGTGTGAGGCGTTAACACGTTTGAGGCTGCTGTGGGTTCAGAAGAGAGAAATAAGAATCTGAAAGATGGGTCTTAACTGGATGGAAGGGAAAGAAGGACTAGGAGGAGCAAGGTGATGGGAGGTGAGAAAAGGCAGGTCTGTGGGGCAGGTGCAAGCCCCCCTTACCTGCGTGGGGAATACGGCCTGAGGCTGAGTCACATGGGTCAGAGCCTTTGGAGTTATGTAGGAGAATTTGGAGCAGAATCAGGAGCTTCACAAATAATGACTTTTGAATATTGCGATCCTAATCCTTTCATTTCCTAAACTGTAATTCCAAGTTCATATTGGGGTTATTACTAGGACCTTGGTATCCATTGTTTTCCCAGGTAAGGATTCTTAGCCTATGATCTGTGAGATGCTTTTATGGTTTCTATTAACACTTACAAAATTGTATACAAATACTGTTCATAGAATTTTTTTCCTTTTTTTCTTTTTTATTGATGTATAGTCAATTTACAATATTACATTAATGAGAATTTTGGATAGGGGCTCCATAGCTCTTATCAGGATCTTTTAAGGAATCTGGGACCCAAAAAGGTTAAGAATCACTGTGCTAGGTCCTATCCACCATATTTTAACTATATAATTGCTTATTTGAGGTGCTGAATTAATTATAGGTTCATCTTATTTATAAAATTAACACAATGGTGTTATGAATGATTTTGTCTTCAGGCTTACAAATATCTGCGAGAAGAAGTCAAAACTTTTCAAGGAAAACCAATTAAGGTAAGCAAGACCATTGGTTATACTTTATCTGCAAACCAGTGTCCTTAAGTGTTCTAAGAGAAACTTACATGTTTTCAAACAGGCACGGATAAAAGCGAAGGCAATAGCTATAAACACATTTTTGCCAAAGAATGGCTTTAGACCTCTGGACATGAGCCTCTACACACAGCAGCGCTACACCGCATCGTTTTACTTACCTCCAGTCTACAGCCCCCAGCAGCAGTTTCCTCTCTACAGCCTGATCGCCCCCCAGACATGGTCAGCGACACATAGCTATCTTGATCCGCCCTTGGTGAGTCCTGGCTTCACTGGAGCTTCTATGGCAACAATCCTGTGGCAGACACTGGGTACTTTAGAGAATAAGATCTTCCTCTAACAGGGGAAACAGTACGGATGCCGTTTGCCATAGTAAAACAGGCCTTCAAGTTCTCTGGTGGATTTTCAGTTTAATTGAGAGATAAATATGCAACTGTGTAAATTTTTAAAAACCTTTCCAATAATGAGATCCCGATCCTTTGCCTGGTTTGCCTCCCCTCCTGTCTAGCATTTCCTTTCCTAAGCTGTGTAATCCCTAGAAAAACAAAAATGTGATTACGAGTTGTAGGCTAGCCGGGGTCCTTCTGAGCACAGAGGGGAACCCAACGGGGCATGGTTTGAAGGAGAAAAGGGTGTTTAATAGGCTTCTAACAATCCAGGACAAGTGGAAGACATATAGACAGGCCTCGTTTTATTGCGCTTTGCAGGTACTCCGTTGTTTTGGTTTTCTTTTTTTTACAAATTGCACGTTTTGGCAACCCTGCATTGAGCAAGTCTTTTGGTGCCATTTTTCCAACAGTGTTTGCTCACTTTGTGCCTCTGTGTCACATTTGGTAATTCTCACAGTATTTCAAACTTTTTCATTATAATCATATTTGTCATGGTAATCTGTCATCAGTGATCTTAGACTCACTGAAGGCTCAGAGGATGATTAGCAGTTTTTAGCAATAAAGTATTTTTTCATTAAGGTGTGTACATTGTTTTTGTAAGGTATAATACTTTTGTACACTTAGACAATAGGATAGTGTAAACATAATTTTCATGCTCACTGGGAAACCAAAAAATTTGTGTGACTTGCTTTATTGCAACATTTGCTTTATTGCTGGAACTGAGCCCATGGTATCTCTGAGGTCTGCCTGTACTGTCTTATAAGCTTTATTTCTCACACCAGCCCTACAGCTGGCTGGAGTGATTAATTTTTACAGATTTTGGCCTGTTTAAGGCCTGTGGTTAGACTCGATAGATGTGTAATGGATCCATCACTTTTCTCCAGCTGTGCTGCTGTAGATGTTAGCGTGATTGGCGGGCCATGTCTGGCGATTGCAGGAGTCTGATGGAGCGGGATGTGAGAATCAGGGCTGCTCTGTGGAGGGTGGGCCATGGGGAGAGTTGTGGTCAAAGAGCAGGAACTGAGTAACCCTGAAGGTATGGCTGTGGCCAAGTCTGGGGATAGTCAGGACCACTGATGGTGAGAGGGCAGGCGTGGGGGAGGGAGCATTGGTGCACCTGGGTACCTGGTGCCTGTTTTGCACAGAATGTCAAGATGCGTGTCCAGGAAAGACACATGTCGGACAGGCGACAATTGTGTGAATCTCTGAGTATTTCTGAGCTAAAGCAGAGGCTGAAGCAGGGACTGGGAGGGGAGGTTGGTAAGGTCTGTCAGGGCCAGACCGTCCAGGCCTTGAGTGTGTCCTGAGGCATGAGGGCCGGGAGGATGGATGGGGATGAGGGACAGCCCTCAGGAGCCCAGGGCCAGTGTGGGACGAGAGCAGTGAGCACACAAGGTAGCGCTCCGTCTCTGTTGAGTGAATCCTTATGGTAAGAAAACACACTGCTGTTTTGAAATCCTCACCGCGTTCCGTGGAAGTGTACCGAGAGCCATGTAGTTAATGTATCGTGAGCAAGGAAATCTTCAAGGGGAATAGCATCCGTCAATTCTTGGTTGAATGATTCCTCCAAAGGAGTCTCACTGCTGTGCTTGTTTTTCTAATCTCTCTTAATCGTATTTGTCCCTGTCCCAAGTGGGGGCCCTCGCTTCCTGGGTGGTAGTCTGGCCGTGCAGCTGGTTCCTTTGATCTGGCTGGGCCGCGTGAGGCCCGTTGTAAAACAGACTGCGTCATTTTGAGCAGAAGTGACAAGATGAGGCCTGTTAATTCTCAGCAAGTTGTGTTAAATTACTGCGTTAGCAACCAATTTATTTTTAAACTCTTGAGCAAAATTACTTAAATACCAGGGTTTTATATGTAAAATTACAGGTATGAAATGATTTGTCTCAATTGTTCTTATCATGATTTACGATCTTCAAACTCTGGTTCTGGTGTGATAGACGTATTTCTGAATATATGGTAGTTCCTCAGAAGAGCTTTGGAGATCTTAACACAGTTTTTTGGAGGTTTTTTCTTGTTGCTTTTTAATTTATTTTTGGCTGCGTTGGGTCTTCGTTGCTGCGCGCGGGCTTTCCCTAGTTGTGGCGAGCAGGGGCTACTCTTCATTGCTGTGTGCAGGCTTCTCATTGTGGAGGCTTCTCTTGTTACTGAGCACAGGCTCTAGGTGCATGGGCTTCAGTAGTTGTGGCTCACGGGCTTAGTTGCTCCGCGGCATGTGGGATCTTCCCGGACCAGGGATCAAACCCGTGTCGCCTGCATTGGCAGGCAGATTCTTAAGCACTGTGCCACCAGGGAAGTCCCTAACACGGTTTTTTATAAAATAAATTTATTTATTTACTTATTTATTTATTAATTTTTGGCTGCATTGGGTCTTCGTTGCTGTGCTCGGGCTTTCTCTAGTTGCAGCGAGCGGGAGCTACTCTTCGTTGCAGTGCTCAGGCTTCTCATTGTGGTGGCTTCTCTTGTTGCGGAGCACAGGCTCTAGGCGTGCAAGCTTCAGTAATTGTGCCACGCGGGCTCAGTGGTTGTGGCTCTTGGGCTCTGGAGCACAGACTCAGTAGTTGTGGTACACAGGCTTAGTTGCTCTGTGGCATGTGAGATCTTCCTGGACCAGGGCTCAACCCTTTGTCCCCTGCATTGGCAGGTGGATTCTTAACGACTGCACCACCAGGGAAGTCCCCTAACACAGTTTTAACTGCATCTTTCTCCCTCAGCATTTCCCTTTTATTGCTTTCATTTTCTTTTTCAAAATTTGGAATGATTTGTTTTGGTCTTAAGCTGTTTTTAATCATCCTATTACAGCTTTTGGTTAGCTCTAGTTAAGAGGAATTGCCGGCTTTTTGTCTTTTCCTTTTCCCCAAACAAGGAGTGGCCTATTTGTATCTCTCAATTTAGTGAAAATGTAAGGTCGGAACTGGATGGCACCAAGGAGTTAAATGCCTTTGAATCCATCAGGGAATGTTGTTTATACAGAAATTGTGTGAAACCACATGTTCAGAATCCAGAAAACAGGAGTGATCGCTCTTTTCATGATTTTTAAAAACTATTTCAACACTAAGTTCTATCTTATTTTTGTTGTGACTAGATTTTTTAGTAGTTGGCTGATATTTAAAATTCTGTACTTAATTTTTTTAATGTTTTAAGATTATATTTAGGATTGTATCTTTTAAGGGCACTGTGACCCTGTTTAATTTTCTTCTGACATATATGTCAGTGTATGTTTATGAAGTATATCCCCATAAATTGTGACTTGGGACATAATTGTTAATGACCTGAAAATATCGTGATACTCAGCAAGACTTGCATGCAGGTGAGGCTAAAAGGGCACTCTCAAAGGCTGTGATTGTGAAATAGATCCCTAAATGCCCCCAAGATTGAGAGCTTTGATGGATTTTATTAAAGTCATCAGGAATGAAGAGTTGTTGACTTGATGTCGGCACATCGTGGGTGTCAGTCCGGGCACCGGGCTGAGAGTGTGGGATCGCGTGCTCAGCCTGTGCTCAGCACCGGGCGAGGCGGGGTGGGGGCAGACGCTTCTCTCCACACGTGTGAGGCGGCTTCCTCATGGGGCTGTTGTGAGGTCTCGGCCCCAGCCTGGATCAAGAAGTCTTGGCCATTAGCAGTAGTCCTACCCAGTGCTCTTCTCCACGGCGAGCACTCCAAGTATGACATGGAACGTCAGCGACCAGTGTTAACCAGCCTGAAGTCTGTTTGTTTTTAATGAATCTAGGTAACGCCATTTCCAAATACTGGATTTATAAATGGGTTCACGTCTCCAACCTTCAAACCTGCAGCATCTCCTCTGACTTCACTCAGACAATACCCTCCAAGGAGCAGGCAAGTCCCGTGAGGGGTTGAAAGGCTGCTATTTCCCCAGGGTTTGTAACAAGAGGTCGCTGCCACATTGTATATTTTCAAAGCAAAGCAAAAGCAAATGTGTTAAACCTCCGTCATTCTCACCATTTGGGTGAGTCACACTAAGTGAAGAGGCTGTTCTGTGCTGGCTAATGGTAGATTTGACCACCAGTAATGTCCACCAGGAGTAAAACGACTCAAGGCGTGGAATTCCATTCTGTGAGCATTAAAGCCTGAAATGTGTGTTGCAACGCCTACGTAGAGGGTAGACTCGTGAGACAAAGGCTTCTGGGACAGCTTGCATCTGCATGCGCCTGCTCTTAATTTAGACCTGGGCTACAGCCCAGCAGAACGTCCATACTGCATTTAGATTTGCATTATCAGACATATTATGAACTAACTATTCTAAGTAACATTTTTAATATTTTTCCTAAAAAGAAAGCACATTTTAGCTTAGCCATTTCTGCATTAGCATGCTCTTTTCATAATGCCATGATCATTTTAGAACTGAGCGTATACAAACATTTTATTTACAGGAATCCTAGTAAATCTCATCTGCGCCATGCCATTCCCAGTGCAGAGAGAGGGCCCGGGCTGTTAGAAAGTCCTTCGATATTTAACTTCACTGCGGACCGGTTGATGAACGGTGTGCGGAGCCCACAAACGAGGCAGACGGGTCAGCCTCGAGCTCGGCTACAGAACCCTCCAGTCTACGCCAAGAGAGACGCGGGGCCCGGGCGGGTGGAACAGAGCAGCCTCGAGTCCTCTCCGGGCTTAGGTAGAGGGAGGTGAGTGTTCACAATTTCATTTGGACAGGTACTGTGTACTTAGAAACTATTCGTAGTGTCAGATTCCATTAATTCAGATGTGTTTTATAATCATTATTTTCAAGTCCATCACAGAAAATCAAATGGAAGGCTGTAACCATCCAAGGTTTTATATAATTACTCAGGGGTGTTACTTTTAGAGCAGAGACTTGACCAGTTCCATCTTTGTGGTAACAGGACACTGTTCAGTGGGAACTGAGGGTGGGCCAGGCTGCCTTGGGTCACAGTCATTATGTGTGGAGAGCTGAACGGACAGCGCGCCCCCCCCCCGTGGCACGTCAGGAAGGACGTGCGCTCCAGCACACATCTAGCGTATCTAGCGTGGGCTCGGCCTCCGTAAGCTTTTCCTGTTGTAAACCCACTTTGAAACCTGTAAGTAAAGACTACTTTTCTGAGTATTATGTACGGAGGACATGGTCTGCCTCCAGGAGCTCCTTCTGGTGGGGGGTGTGTGCTCCCGGTGCGGTGGGAGCGGGAGGGACCCCAGGCGGCTCCGTCTTCGCAGTCAAGCCTTGCTGGGCCCATCAGGGGTGGAATTGGTCAAGATTATTTCTAAATTCCTTTTCAGCTTACATAATACGGGCCCTTAGGGAGTCTTTGCGTTCAGCTGAAATGACAAAGGGTAAATAAATAAAAATGAAATTATAAATGGGAATTAATGTGTGAACTGTTAGGCCACGGAAGCCCGTCCGAGCAGTGAAGTGTCTTGGTGCCTTTGGGCCTGCCGTGACATCCACTAAGTAGGTGGGGTTGTTGCTGCGGTTTAAGCTGCTGTGCAGGGAACGGCGCCAATGCTGGCGGGTCAGACTCTGGATGTTGGAAATGTGCCTCAGGAACTGTGGAGTGGAAGGCTGGCAGATGGGGAGAGGAAGTGCTTGGAGCTCAGAAACCCCATGTGGTTCACTGGAGTGAGGGCCAGGGGTGCAGGAGTGGACTAGGCTACTTGGGAGCTTTTCCTTTTGATGATAAATTGGATAGATTGTCATTACCATTTTTTAACAATTCACCTTTATAGCTCAGTGTCACACTTTACATATCTTGCCACTCCAACTGAATGGATATTCAAATGTTCATATCATAACAAAAATTCTAAATGGGAAAATTCCTTCAATAAATATTTTCTTTTATTTACCTATCTAGACCTCAATTTTACTTCTTTACTATAAATTTTTTTTTTGTTTTGCTTACACTTCTTAAGGTTGGGATTTTAAAATCAAAAGTCATCTATAAAAGATTACAAAGTCATGAAGACTGAATGTGTCTGCACATACTGTGCTCAGTGAAATTATGTTTCAAATGGGAAAAGTTAACAGTCTTCTGCTTTCCTCTCCTCTAGGAAAAATTCCTTTGGTTACCGGAAGAAACGGGAGGAGAAGTTCACAGTGAGTACATCAGGCCTGTGCCACTTTCACAAGATGTTTAAACCTAGCTTACACTAAACAAACCTGAGATTTAATTAAGATGTGAGAAGGAGCTTTTCAAAAGAGATTTTCTCGTAATGTGGTGTCCGCTAGGTGATAATAGACCTTTTTTTGATGCTCTAAAGAGGAGGTGGTGGTGGCTGGTTTCCTGAGGAACTGCTGGCACCTGCGTGTCCTATGCGGCACATAGGTGCACCCAGGAGCGCATCATGCACATATGTGGTCTGTACACTTGTCCAGATGAGTGCTTTCTGTGTGGGTGACCAGGTAGTGTACTTTGAAATTACCGGAATCACGAGTTTGGACAAGCAGAATAAACTTCTCTCACGTAGGAATTAGCTCATCAGTATTTTTCATTCAAAATATTTTACTCTGTATCCACTGTGTAGAAAGCATTGTTGATTTTTGCTGCATGTAACTTACGGTCAGGACAAACCCAAAATAAGTGATGGGTTTATGTGAGTGGTAAGTAAGTATAGGAGATATGGTTGTGTCTGCTTAGGGTGATTGACCAGCTCCCCCTCTGGTTGGTGCTCTGCAGGGCTCTGATGAGGGGAGAGCGTGGGCGGTGTGCATGTAGACGTGGGCTCTCGTAGAGCTCCACATTCAGGGCCTGGAAAAGGCCTTGAGACAGTTCTTGGTCTGGACCCCAAGCCATTGAGTGTGTACATTCTCATTACTGTATTTGCCTAGAACTTAGAAAGTGCAAATTGGTAGTAAATGAACACCCTAATTTTACCATGTTGGTCAGTTCAGTCTAGTTTTTGGTGACCCTATGGTAAGGCAGTTTATATCGGTTGGTTCCAGTTGGAATGCGTGAATTCCTGTTACATTTGGACTAACAAGACAGGCATCTGACTATCTCTTCAGGTACTAGTTACCCTGCAGGAATCATTGCCCCCGGTCACTGCATTACCTGCAAAGGTGAAATGTTTTCCTATTGCCATTTCCATTTCATTCTGTTTTGTGTTTCTGATCTGCGTGTTCATACCTGGAACCACTCAGATGCCCACACATGTGGCTCAGGTGTGTGTACTCGACAGTGAGCCCATTGCTGCACTGGGTGTTCTGAACACCTGAGAAGCTTGGGGGCAGGTCGCAGATGTGTGAGCAGGTGGCCTGGCCACGCCCTCGGGACCAGGGGTTGACATTCATGCCTTGCCTTAAGCCATTCAGACCCTAAAAACGTTAAAACATCGTTAAACATTGCCTCTTTTCTTCCCGAAAGTTGATACTTAGTCAATTTTTTGTCAGGTCTTTCTTCCTAGAAACGCTCATCTTCTGAAAAGCTGGGTTCACCTCAGAAACATGCAGATGTTTAAAATAAAGCCTCTAAAAATTGTTTTGAGATGAGCATAACCTAGAGCATGCTGAACTACAGGGCACGCTGTAGCCACACGGCTACCTGTGCAGCCTGGTTCAGAGGGCACACACGCGAGCAAGGTAGGCAGCCCTCAGACACCTACGCCAAGGAGAAGACATGCAGCAGGAGGCCCAAAGGAGAGGTGGGCTGTGCTCAGCGTGGATCCGATTTCATCCTTAACCTGCTCTCACTTGAGCTGTAACAGATCTTCTGTAGATTTTACTTCTGTAGGGATAATCTTCCAGTTGGTATAAGTTTCTGGGAAATCTTGGCCTTTCAAGTTAAGTGAGCCCCACGAGAGCATTGCTTCCAGTCCAAGTAGCCCACCATTCAACTAAAAATGCCTGTGTTCTACCTAATACAAACTCATTTCCCCGTTCTGTTCCTTGTCTGTTTCAGCCAAGGAACTGGATGTTACAGAATGACTCCTACCTAGCAGGTTGACTAAGAGTGTTTCAATAAAAGTATATCACTGCCTTTCTTCTGAGACTCCTGCCTTTCTCTTTGGCTTATAAGTTTTACTTGGGTATTATTTTGCTGAGTTTACTTACTTTCTTGAAGTCAGGGAATGTGATAACAGTCTCATTAAATACCATGCTTTTACATACTGATCTAAAAATATAAGGTGTTTTAGTAAGTTAATTTTCAGGTAACTGAAGCCCCCTCCCTTTTAAAAATATAAGGTGTTTCAGTAAGTTAATTTTCAGATAACTGAAGCCCCCTCCCTTTTTTGTTAAACTTTTTTTAATGGAAATCTTTGTGAAATTTTTTACGTAAGTTGTACAGAGTTGAGAGAGTGGCTTTTGTTTTCTTTTACTTTCTCTTTTATGACTTAGATCACAGACTCTGCTGCGATAACACAAAACTTGTCTGGAGGTGAATAAGTTTAATGTCGAGACTTAGGCTCTTGTGCATCTGTCACTTTGCTGTGCCCCACTGGTCTCTGTCGGCTGCCGGGGGTCTGGGTGTCGTACACACGCAGCTCTTACCGGCGTGTTTGACCGTGGCCGGGAGCAGCCCTGAGGTTTCGTCTTTTCAGCTCTGCTCTCATGGTCGAAGTTGCCTGACAGATGACCTTTGATAGGTGACCAAGTCGGCGGGGTTGGATTGGCCATCCGTTTCTCCAGACAGGTGTGGACCTTCGAAGACTAGGGAGCGAGTGTTTGCATCGCTCACCTGCGGTATTTCTGAGCCCCTCCTACCCAGCCGCCCCAGGGCGACTCCACGGTGTTCTTCTCTTTCAGAGGAGTCAGACTCAGTCTCCAACACCACCCAGGCCGCCCTCCCCGAGCTTTGAATTAGGCCTCTCCAGCTTCCCCCCACTGCCTGGGGCGGCGGGGCATTTGAAGACGGAGGACTTGTTTGAGAACAGGCTGTCTGGCTTGCTCACAGGATCGTCCAAAGAAAGGGTAAGCTATCCCAAGCCTGATGCTCACTCACCGCTGGCGTCCCGCTCTTTACATGTGTGCTTTCTTCACATGCGGAAGAGGTTTATGAGGATAAGTGATTGCAGAGGCCACATAGGTTTTGCGTGGTACGGTCAGAGGTGGAGCCCTGCACTGCTGTACTGTACAGACACTCACCCACCCAGAAACTCAGGTTGCATTTGTATTCTTGCTATTCACGATCTGCTTTCATTTTACAAGTCAGCAGAATAAAAAAGAAAACTCTGAATTATACCAGAAGTAACATGTTTTTAATAATCTACATGAACAACCAGAAGCCCAGAGCAACTTTACTATAATACGGGTGGCTGTCGGCGAGCTCTGCGGTATTCATGCCTCTGCAGTGATTACATCCCGGGAATCAGCAAGTGCTGCAAGAGCCCGGGGGCTCCCCGTGGCCCTGCTGCAGTCGACAAGCAGACCAGGGCAGAGGTGGCCAGAATGCCTCATCCAGCGCCTGCTGAGTTCTCAGCCTGGCGCTCCACCACGGCCACCCACCATGTCTTTCTCCAGTGGGAACCCACCCACCAGCACCCTGCCTACTGCCCGAAGACCTAAGGAGTCAGAACCCCTGGCCTCTGGGTTGGGGAAGGCACTGCCCTGCAGACCGTGTCCAGACCGTCTACACCTGCAGAGCCCCCACAGGGGTGGGGTCGCCCCTCAGTACCAGGCGGGGTCATGGTGGGATTTATAAAGCCAGGTCTTTAGTTGTCTTCATACTAGTGTGTGGTTACTGCTCCCATTTTTAGCCTTCAAGGTTGAGAGGATTCCAAGACCCTGTATTTTGGAGAGAGAAGCACTTATTAAATGTGACATGTCTTGTGCGTTATTGTCAGTCTTAAATTCTGAGTTATCAGTGCCCCATGGAATGATGTTAGAGACCCTGAGTCCTGGCTTCACCCTGACCTTACTCCCCTTGGGGATGGGCAGGGGAAGAGAACAAGCAGGCCTCCACCCCATTTCAAAAACAGTATTTTGTTGTTGTTGTTTTTTTAAATTTTTACTGTTTTTTACATTGTGATTTTGTGTAAAACTTATTTTGAAGAGAGAATTGCTACTTTTTTTTTTTTTTGCGGTACGCGGGCCTCTCCCATTGCGGAGCACAGGCTCCAGACTCGCAGGCTCAGCGGCCATGGCTCACACGGGCCCAGGCGCTCCGCGGCATGTGGGAGCTTCCCGGACTGGGGCACGAACCCGTGTCCCCTGCATCGGCAGCCGGACTCCCAACCACTGCGCCACCGGGGAAGCCCGAGAATTGCTACTTTTAAGAAGCCTGAGCCCAATTCCAGGTGGAAGAGACTGTGTCCCTGCTTCTTGGTGAAGTGCTCGGCGGCTCTGCGGGGCCCTGGGAGGCCTCCGACGGGAGCGGGGCGGTCTCGGGCGTGCTCTGGACGTGAGGGAGCTTTTACAAGGAGGAGGTGTTTTCCATGCCTGTGTTTCCACCAGCCTTGAGCACAAAATCGTGAGAGGTGATGGTTCTCAGGGGCCCCATGTCTCCATCACCACCACCCTCGCCCCATGGTGGGGGGCAGTGCTATTCCCTCCATCTCACTCCCTCCAGAACCTCTCACTTCTGAACTTTTTATCTGCTTTGAAAAGTGAGATTTTGAGAAAACGCTTGTTTGCAGTTAGACCCCTTCCAGTTCTTTATTTGCTCTGCTGCCTTTTTTTTTTGTTAATTAACAGAAGGCTACATGTGTGAGTGGTTACTGCTCATGGGGCTGGCATTCTCCAGGTGTTTGCCTTAAACAGACTAAGCCTCAGTTTCGTTCCCTGTTACATCAGGAGAGTTAACACACTGCCTTCAGGGGCTGCTGGTGAATTCAGGTGGGAACTGATGTCAGCACCTGCACCCCTCAAGGCACTCAGGTTTATTGGGATGGAGCTGTAACCTTGTTGGTTTTCCCTGTAAAAACGGGTGAGCCGTACCGGATTGTGCTGGGGACTCTACATTCACAGATCACGTGCCAGGCGGTGCTGGGCACTGGGGTGTCAGATGGGTGGAGGTTTCAGTACCTGTTCAGGTGGGAAAGCAGGCTTGCAGGCAATCGTGCTCATGCACAGAGGGAGGCCTCAGATCGGTGAGATGTCTGCCAAGAGGAAGGGGAGACCGGGGGCTGCTTCCCGGCCACAGGGTGTCCAGTTGTACTCCGGGCTGGCCCACCCATGCTCCCAGGAGGACGGCGAAGCCGGTACCATCGTTGTGTGTTTAAGATCATTGAGAAAGATCTGACGGACGTGCCTCTATGCGGTGATAAACTGTTTTTGATGGTTTCAGAGCCTGAACGCAGATGCAAGCACGAACACTCTCCCCACGGTGCCCCCCCGAGAGCCCTCAGTGCCCTGTGCCGTGTCCACAGCCTGCGAGCGTGCCCCCTCCCCTGCCCACCCGCCCGAGTAAGTCCACCTGCACCTGATGCCCGCGCCCCGTGCTGTGCTCACTGCGGGGCTGCCCGCGGGGCCCGGATGTTCACGTGTCTGCCTGGTGGCGTCTTTCCAGGGATCCCAAGGTGGTGGAGAAGCAGAAGGAAACCCCGAGTGTGGACAGACCTCCTCCCGCCCTGAGCACGACTGCAAGTAAATCGGTGCAGGTGGACGGCGCCATCTCGGTATGTCGGGGGCAAGGATGTGGAGGGGCTCCCTGGAGCGGTGGCCGCCTGTGTGCACACTGCGCTTTCTGTGCAGGGTACCCTGGGCATTTGCTAATGATTGTAACTAACCGATCTGGCTGTTCGTCGTCCCTGCAGCCGTGGGTCATCTTGTTCAGGGTCAGTAGAGTGAGGCTGTCGCCTGAGGAGCCACAGCTTCCAGTTCCTGTGCCCCTAGGACTTAGGGTGGTCCAAGGGTGGATCAGAGGGATGCCCACCTCCCACCCCGCCCGGGTCCACACAGGCCTACCGCCAGCTCCTCTTCCTCTCTCCTCCCCTGGGCGCTCAGTCCAGCTTTTTAAATTCTGATTTGCGTTGTCCCTAGTTTGATCTTGGGTGGGCCTTTATCGTTTAGATTTGGGAGTTAAACCCTTATTGTCTGCTAGGTTGAATTTTTAAAGAAAACTTTTTTATAGGTTAAAATTATTTTTAAGTTACAAATGGTTGATGGAGGTGACAGACTTCTAAATGTCCTCATCTGTCATTTAGCCTTCATGCTTCCACTTACCTGAAAACCCTACTTTTTTGTTGTTGTTACCTCTGACTTTCCTGCAACCACACCTCCAGCCCTCTGTAGTTTGCAGTGTGTACAAATGCTTTGCAGAGACAGCTGTTGAAGGTCACCCGTAAGTGACAGCCGGACCTCTTCCTGGGTCCAGGAGGCCTGCTCTGTGCCGAGGCAGATTGTCTGGCAGGGAGAGCAGATGCTGCTTCTGTGTTTTTTCTAGGGTGTCTGCTGTCTGCCGCCTTTCAGGCTCGTATGTGGCTCAGAAGTGATTACAGGCCAGAGGCTGGAAAGAGTTCAGTCGGCACTTTTCATCTCCATGCCTTTTCTAGTTTTAACCATTTTTACAAGATATTTCTAGAGTATCTTGGAGAGAAAGTTGTGCTGCAGGGGAACCTCAGTTGTTGAAATGTAGGAATTCTTTATTTAAAATAATTTTGAATGTGGTTACAGTTGAAACCTTTTTTTACGTCTACCTCAAGTGAACCTTATTTTCGCATGTTGTCATATAATCCCAGAGCTGTGTCTGTTTCCCAGGAATTGCGAAAACCCAGCTACGCAGAGATTTGTCAGAGGACGAATAGAGAGCCACCATCTTCCCCGTTGCAGCCCCAGAAAGAACAAAAGCCAAACACTGTTGGTTGTGGGAAGGAAGAAAAGAAGCTCGCCGAGAGAGAGCCCTCTGCCCCCAAGTCCAGCCCAGGACCACCCAAAGACCAGAGGAGACCGCCAGGCCGCCGGCCCTCTCCCCCAGCCTCGGGGCGGCGTCTGCACAGAGAACAGAGCCCCCCACCCAGGTCCCCTCAGTGAGCGCCGAGGTCTGGGAGGGCTTCAAGGAGCTGAGGTCGCCACAACTAAGCACTGTCCTGCTCGGGATGTGAGTGAGCCGCTGGTTAGGAGCTTGCAGTGTAGATGAGGCCTACAAGGTGCCTGCAAGTTATTTTTCTTCTATGAGTCGGATTTCCCCCCTCTTGAAAAAAATCTATTTTTCAGGATTTAATTAATATAAACCTTATTTTAGGTTGGTGCTTAACTGGAGGTGATGCATAAGTCTGATTTTTTTCAGGATAGAAAATGCATTTATCCTAACAAATTGATATTTTTTATTAAGCCTCCATGTGGCTATGAATGCAAGCTATATATATATATAGTGAGTTTTTCTAAATTAAGCGGAACTATGCTACTTCATTTTTTAAAATAACTGGTTAGCAAGTGTGTATCTCTGAGATGTCCAGACTGCTGGGTGAGGCTGAGGACCGTGGAATTGAGGGCATGAGGCGATGCTGTGAGTGTATCTTGGGGAAGGGACGGGGTCCAATGGCGCCACACGCTGGCCTGGGAGTTGTCCTTTCATTCAGAAGCCTAACAAGTGGTTCTAGCATTTTTTAAGTAGAGCCCATTTTTGGTCCACTGGGCAGAGTAACCCTGCAGAGCACCGAGAGTCCTGATGTCCTGCCAGCAAGTAACCAGCTCCTCACTCCAGTCTCAAGTGGCTGTTATGTAAGATAAACTCAAAGCACATTGTGAATAGAACTTAAATGGAACATAAACTTTGTTGCCCACTGACATGTTACCACGAAATTGTACCCTGATGTTTTGCTCCCGAGAGCAGGTGGGGAGGACATGGAGCCCAGCTCCCTCGTCTGCCCCAGTCTGCCCCACCTTACCCGTCCCGGGGTGCCTTTCCGAACCTCTGCACACGGCACACAGATCGTGGGAGAAGGTGTTTGTGGTGCCCTCTGGTGTTGGAGGATCCAAGTTCCTCTCTCTTTACCTCCAAGACAGGGTCTGTGATCCCTTCTCTAAGTGCTGCTCTCCAAGAACACGCATGCACTAAAGCTAGCAGTTGATAATAAACATAAATTATTTTGTTTTAAAATGCCTAAATTTTTTCTTTAAGTATTCTAAGCAGCAGACATTAAAATAAGAATATTTCCTGCTAAATGTAACCATACAGTTTATTCCACAAAATGTTATTTAACAAGACTAAGGTTTTTTCTTTTTAAAAAAGAGATTATTTCCATCCAATATTTAAAGACTTGAATTTTATTTAAACTTGAAAATGACTTTGCCTTAACTTTTGTATATGACAGCTTAGAGTTCCTGAGACCGGCCTGTGTTGGCGTGAGTGGGGTCTGCTGTCACGGTGTTACTGGGTAAGCACTGTAGGAAGAGCGAGCAGTCATGTTTGTAATTTACCTGGAAGATCTTACACAGTTGATCTTTTTTCAGACTGTTGAAAAACCCTGTAAATGCAAATAGTCGATACTGTATTAAATATGTGCACTTGGGCGTGTGCTTTGTTTGTACAGTTGTAAATAATGAGAACATATTCAAAAGGTACCCTAAAGAGAAAAAGCTGATAAAAACTGATATATTATAAATGTTGCTATTGACCTGGGTGTAGATAAACTCAGTGTTGTGGTTTGAATATTATTTTAATTTGTTGAGGTTTTTTCTTTTTCTCTTATACTGGTGTGCTGAACTGATTCTGCCTCTTTGCTGCTGTGAAAGGGAGATGGAAAGTTTTACTAAAATGTTCGAATATTTTCATGCTCTTCTTAAACATATGTAAGTATGTACTAATCACAGCTAATGTTGAAAGGGTTTTTGAGGTATAATCTGGAAAGTGGAAACTGGCAGGGTCTTCAAGTGAAAGTAAAAAATAATCTACTTAAAATTACAAATAGCTAATAGGCATGATCTGCCTGCCAGAGGAAAACAAGCCCATCTCCTTCAGAGCAGCGTCTTTATTCAAATACCTAGACACCCACACAACGCTCCTATTTGCAAATGCCTGTTAAAAGGAACAGGGGAATTAATTTCTTTGTAGTTTTGAAATTGCTGACTGAAAAAATCAGAAATAATTGACCTCTTACACGCAAACTAATGAGTACTGTAGAAAGAGCTGGAAAGGCCAGCTCTGAGCCCCCGGGATCCCATGACATGGCGGTCTCTGCTGGAGGAGGGAGCGATGCTGTCAGCACCATCCCCGAATCCCAAACCCTGTGCAGCCCAGACACTGGTTTTTAATAGTGGCAGATCCTTTCCCTGGAGGCAGGTGTGGGGGGCCAGCTGTGCTGTCCGCCCTTTGTGTGACCAGGGTGGAGCTGTGCGTGCAGCTGGGATGAAGGTGACCGTGACAGCAGCCGGGCCCAGCCAGGTGGCATGGCCGGCCGGGCACATGAGGCCTGTGCTCCCGCAGCCGAGTTAAGACTTCACTCTGATGTGATTTTTATAGCATTTTTTTTAATTAAGCAAGGGCGATATGCCAAAGAGCTGTATAATGTCCCCCAACCTCCACCTTTCTGATATTCCTGAGGTTTTCCACTCACAGAAAAGCACAGGGGGTGCACAGTGGGAAGCTGTGGCACCAGCCCACGGGCAGCCCTGCCATGCACAGCTGGTGTCTGGCTTCGTCCGTGTAAAATATAACTCTTTCCTTTCCCCTGGCAGTACCTCAAGGTACAGAGTCAGAGACACAGCATCACAAATGGCATTTTAACTTGGACAATTGTGTGATGATACTTGTCATTTGGAGAGATAAGAATGAGAACCCAGCCCCGTTTCACCAGACATGAATTCAAGAAAAGTCGTTGATTTTTAAGAGTCCGTGTCATCATGTTTCTGATCAGGCCCTCTTGTAACTGCATCACTAGTTGTCACTAGTGGTGGCAAGAAACCTGTCAAGTTGCCACGTGGTCAGGGCCACCATGGTGCCGTGTGGAGGCCAGTCTGGGGCCTCGCGGGCCTCAGGGGCAGGTACGACCCGTGTCTGCATCTGCGTCCGCGGGGAGCGGCGGACAATCGGCCTGAAGGAGCGGCCACGGCACCAGCTCGCAGGAGGGCAGTGACGCGGACGCCTCGCTAGGGCTTTTGTTTCTGTTCTATTTCTTTTCATTAAGACTGGAATCAAGCTTATGTGTAAACTATTGGTAATTTAAGTTTCCTTTGTGTCATTCAGTGTAAAACTGTCTAATTTGAAAAAATGTAGGTTATGAAAAATAAAGATTTAGGCACTGTTTGGGTTTTCATTGTTTTTTAATTAAAATTTTCTTCAAGAATGCACCTTTTTAAAAAATAGTATTTTGTTTGAACCCATCTGTGTCGTGAGAATGAAATGCGGGTTCCATCCACCCATGTTCGGATCGTAGCCCGAGTCGTCGCAGCAGGGGCACCATGCCCAGCAGCTCAGTTGTGGGCCTCCAGGGTCGGCCCTCAAGCCAGTGTTCGTGAGGGCACAGTTCGTTGAATTTGAGGTTTACCACAGAAATAAGTATCCCTGTGTCGGGCTCTTGTTTCTCGTGTTAAATGGCAACGTCTCAGGAGACATCCCCATAAAGTCACCTGGGGTGGAGGTGGGGCCATCGTGTTCAGATCCTAAGTGAGCCTCAGAAACGGTGATGGACTTCACCCTAAGTCAGGGTGACGCCAGCAGCGGTGGTTGGGCCTCCAGCATGTGTTACGTGTGATGGCTGGTCTGCCAGCTGGTGACTGACCCGCGCACCCCCTCCCCCGTGTTTCTACTTGGTTATCCTTCCCTTGTTGATGTGGGCTTCTTTGTCTCTGGCTGTTCATTCTTTGTTACATGTTGCAGGTATTTCCTCTCAATCCCTACCAGCTGTCTAAACTCTATTTAGAGTAGCTTTTATCTTACAGTTTTTAATTATGTAGTAAAATTGACCCATCTTCTCCTTTATGGTTGAGTGTCTTGGTCTTGTTTATGAAGTCTCCCTACTCCAGAGCCATGAAGACAGTCTCCCTTGATGAATACATGTGTCTTCAGCCCATGTGGAATTGATTGATGTGTGTGTGTGTGTGTGCTGTGTGTGTAGTCTGAGGTGAGAACCCAGTTTTACTTTTTGCCATGTGGAAACTTGCCTGTTGAGTAGCTCATTACTCCTCCACTGATCCGTGTGCCACTCTTGTTACTTGGTGTTCCCTCCCACCTGCACAGGCAGCTTTTTCTAACCCCTCTAGTCTGTGCCTCTGGGCTCATTTCTCTGCGGACACTGTGGAATTCACTCACCCACCATTCTGCCTTCCTAGGAATTTCCTTCGTAGGACTCATCACAAAAATAATTCGATGTGCTCCCTGAAGGTGGGAATCAAGCCCGTCTCTGTCACCCTTGTATCCCCTGGTCTCAGTACACTGTCTGCAACATAGTAGAGGCTCAATAAATATCTGTAAAGTTGATGAAGTATCTACTGACTGTGTTCTCCATGCACAGCCCTGGCATAGGAAATTGGGGGAGAAATGGGGTGATGTGTTGATTTGCCTTTTCCAGATAACTCTTCGCAAACTCAGTGGCTTGAAATGACAAGTCATACATCGGGACTGGCAGATGTACGCCCAGCTTGGCAGCTCTGCCAGCCCTCGACCCCTCTTGCTCCCAGGTGCGCGTCAGCCACTCTGGGCCTGGCCGGGGACACACAGCTCGTGGCCATGTGTGTCATCCGCGGGCCAGCCGAGGCGTGTTCTCTTGTGGCCGTGGAGTGGCACAGAGCTGAACCCTGAAGGACCCCAGATGTTTGCACCTCCCCCTCCACCAAGAAGTTGCAGTCATTGCATTCCGTTCCTTGGCACGTGCATGTTTTTTTTTACTAACGTTAAAGCCCTCTGTTTATCTAAATCACTGGGTAAAACCAGCAGTCGGAGGAGCACCCCCAGCACCAAGGCAGTTGGGCCTGACGGGCCACTAGCGCTTCCTGATCCGGGTGAAGTGCTGGGCCACCTAGATTGAGGCGTGGGGGGCTCTTCCCCTTTACATACTGTGTTCCCAGTCCACCATGGGTGGTGGGTGGGGGAGATATGAGAAAGATGGCACTGCAGGAGAGTTTGGGGGTTTTAACAAGACTTCCCACAGTTCTCAGAGCTCGAGCGCCATGGAGCATGGCCAGCGTGGGTGCCCAGCTCAGTGGGCCTGGTCCGTGTCTTCCATGTTGGGGCTATGCCATCTGTGGGTCCCACTGAAGCTGAGGGAAAGGATGGTCAGCAGGACCCACCAGGTTCAGGATGGTGTTACGGAGGAGGCTGTCTGGTACCGACCAGGGGAAGGGCTGTCATGGAAGGGGAGCCATGGGGCAGGGACGCAGCCATGGGCTGGATCGCCTGCGAGACCAGGGTCCACTGTGGTCAGACAACACGCTCTGTGTGATCAGTCCACTTACGTGTTAGGGCTTGTCTGTGACCCTGGATGTGGTCACCCTGGTGACTGTTCCACGGGTGCTTGAAAAGAACATGCACCAGATGCAGAGCTTGCTTGAGTGTGTAATGTGGGTCCAATCCTGGGGGGCGAGGTGCCGTCAAGTCCACACCCCGGCTGACATTCTGCCTGGTTCTCTCAGTCACATCCCTAACGAAAGTAACAGATTTGTCTTCCTGTGTTTCACTCTTTCTCATTCCCCTCAGTTTTTGCTTCATGTATTTTGAAACTGTGTTGGGTGCCTGCACTCTTAGGATGGCTGTGTCTTCTTGGGGGTGTATCCTTTAATGTCAGTAATCTCCCTCTTGGTCCCCAGTAACTGTCTTTGCCCTCAAGTTCTCCTGTATCTGACATTAATATACCCATTCCTGCTTTTCTTTTCCTTTATGTCTGGAGATGCACCTTTTCGCATCTTTACTTTGAACCTGCCTCTGCCGTCATATTTAGAGCGAGTCCCTTGTAAGCAGCATATAGTTGGGTCTTGTTCTTCAATCCACTCGGCCAATCTCTGTCTGCTCACTAGTGTGTGCAGACCATTTACACGTAAAGTAACTATTGACTGGCCTACGCCGGCCAGTTTGTTTATTTTCCACTTGCTCCCTCTGTTTCTTGTTCCTCTGTTTCTTTTTTTCTTGCCTTCCTGGGAGTTATAATTTGCTGATTCTTAACTCCCAGATCAGGAATTATTTAAAAAAAGACAATTCTATGCCTGAAGATGTGTTTGCCAGAGTGGGCTCTGCAGGAGGTCAGTCTCTCCTCCAGGGAATCCTCTCCTTACAGATAACTTGAGCAAGTTATGTAGTGTTGCTAAGCCTGGATCTTTATTTTTTAGTGGGACTCGCACAGTGCCTACCTCCTCTGGTTGTTATGAAGACACAGCAAACATTGAAAGTGCCACCCCCTGCACCTGAACGCATGCCCTGAGCAGCCAGGGCCCAGGAGTTTGAGAAACTGTCCCTCCTCCGTTCTCAGAGGCTTGGGTGGTATGATTCCCAAGTCAGGGTACTGGCATGTCCCCCTGTTGGCTAAACGAGAGAGGGCATACCACGCCCCTGGCCATGGAGATTGGCTTAGGGTGGACGTGTGACCAAGTGCAGGTGAGTGAGACCCTAGGAACTCCTGTGATAACCTGAAATCCCTCCTCTGCCTCTGGGTGCTCTGGGCTGAGGACGTGATGAGGGAGCTGGCGGGAGGACGATGCACGAGGGGGAGCGGAGCCTGGAGGACCCGTATCCTTGACATCACCCTGTTCTGCCACATCGGGGTCAGTGTCTTCCTTGGACAGAGAGCAAGAATGCTGTGGGCAGACCCATTAGCATCTGGGGGAATGTGTGGCCTTTAGGAATAATGTCAAAGCTGCCAGTAAATTTCACGTCTCAGCCAGAGCTGGGACCCATTTCTGTTCTTGACCCAGTGACTATCAAGGGAAATGGGCTTCCAGACCAGTTAGGTCACCCTTGGGGCTCTGGGGTGGGGCCCTGGACACACCCAAACTCTGTTAGGAAAGACAGGGTGGCAGCCAGCTGCACCCACTGTTGACCCTGGAATGTACCCCAACCCCACTGCCCCTCAGACTCCAGGCTTGTGGCGTGGAGTCAATATCCGAATTCAGTCAACATCTCAGACTTGATATGCCCAAAGTAGGTCCAAAATAGGGCCCTTGTTACCTCCACAAAACACCATCTCAACTGGTACCACCATCCACCCAGTTATTCCAGTCAGAAAGCTCAGCCACGCTCCGTCCCCCATTTTCTCTCTCCCAGATGTAACCCATCAACGATGCTGCCAACCCTGCCTCCACATGCTCCCCAGCCCTCTCTCGCCCTGTCCAGCCACAGTTCTCTCTTACCAGTGCCTCGTAGGGGGCCTCCTCTGGTCCCCCTATGCCCAGCTCTGGAGCCTTTCGTGGTTCCCTGGCTCAAAACCCCGTGATTGTTTCTCGGGAGACCGAATAAAGCCCGAGCACCAGTGTGGCCTCCAGGCCTCTCTCCAGGAGCTGTCCACCCCGCATCCGAGCACACCAGCCACTGCGCACACCCGGCTCGCACTCAGCATCTCCTGAGCTGGGAATCTCTTCTTCCTCGTTTTTCCCGAGTTTCAGTTCAGATCTTGACCCCTCGCGGGCATGTGCTGAGCACCCTCTCCGACAGCCCCACCCGGGGCCCCCTCTTATCTGGTCCCTCTTATTTTATTCCTATTCCTGCCTTTGGCGCCAATTCTTCAGACCTTGTCCGCGTCTACACCTCTGTCTCCCCAGGGCCGGGAGCACCGCCGGGCCCTGGAGGGAGGGATCACAAACCCACTCACGTGTTGACTCAGCAGCCACGTAAGAAGACCTGCTTTGTCCCAATCACTGTCACCCACGGGGCCCCCCAAACCTCTCCCTCTAACTGCCAGCTCGCCGGCACAGCTGCGGTTCGCATTTCTGTGAAACCCTCAATGCTTACATTTCATATTTTTACTCTTTTTTTGCTTTTTGGTCCTGTACTGCGGAGCCCGCAGACCTGGGGCGGGGTCGGAGTTTCGGAGATTGCAGGGGTGACCGCGGTGGGAACGCGCCCCGCAGGGACTCCCAGACACACCCCCGCCAAGTCTCCCGTAAGGAATCTTGTGGGTGCTTCAGTCGCGCGTCCAGAGCATCCTGGGCAGAGGAGGGGGAGCCCCGCCGCGGCCACGAGCTTTGGGGGCGCTCTTGGCCTCTGCGCACAGGAGCCGAGGTCACAGTCCTGGGACCCGGAGATCTGACCTCTTGGGATCTCCTCGGGCCGGACACCAGCCTGTGGGGTCGCCCCTGGAAGGTGGACCAGCCGGGGCGCTAGCCTCTGCGGACCCAGCCCGCGCCGCGCGTGTCGGCGGGGGC